CGCTTCGAGGGAAGCAGGTGAAAATTAATTGTACGGGTTTTACCCGACCTGCGTTCCACGGGAGAGCCGTGGGACGCGCGGGAGTCTGCTCGCGTCTACCCGCGTCTATCCGCGTCTATCCGCGACGGCGGCGTGTGCAAAGTGTTGTGTACGTGTGCACGCGCGCGCGCGTGTTAGTGTATGTGTGTGTGTGCGCGCCTTCGTCGTCCTATAACACCAGGACGCCATCGATCGATTTTCCTCTCGGCGTCGTCGTCGCCTTGTTGCCCATCGCCCCCATCAACCCCCCCCCCCTCCCCCTTCCGCTCCCATCGGCTCCCCCCGCTATCGCGAGCGCGCTTCCTCGCGCCTCTCGCGACGCGAAGCTGGCGCGCGCGACTCGATTCGTTAATCGTAGATCGAAGCCGCGTCGCGCCGCGCCGCACCGACGGCCAACCGCCGCCTTATCCGCGGAATCATATTTTTGTTGCCGCCGCGCTCTTAGCAACGCCATAGCCGCCGCGTTGCTGCCGCGTATAATTCACGCCCGGGACTGGGGTCAGCTGCTCTCCGCGATATACGCGAGCCGCGCTCGAGATACGAGCGGCGGTCGCGGCTGCCGCGCTAAAAGGAGAAAATTATTTCCTTTTCGTGCCGAATTAATTTCGACGCGATACCGCGAGCCGCCCTGTTACCGAACGGCCGCTCGTGCAGATTGTACATTAAACCATGTGTATCGCAGGTTTATCGAAAAGCGCCGATTCAATCTCTCTTTCTGCGCCAACACCCTGTTTATCGCGTTACGTCTTATTACAGCGCTATTTCACGGGAGAAATCATCGATTCGGAGTCCAACCGGAATTTAGTTTGAAAGTTACCCGTCTGTGTTCCAACACAGTATCCAACTGGTGCTCTCAACGTGATTTGATTAATTATAATCTCGCCTGGCGTTACAATTCTGTTATCTTTGCTAAACTCCAAATCGATCGATTACTCGCAACAGCCTCTTACTGTTAGCTTATTCGTATACCTTTCATTTGCGCCGGGCTAAACGCGCAATCATTTACTATCCATCCTTAGGCCGGTATTCATAGTCGATTGTTAAGCCGACGGCACATGATGCGATATTTTTCCTACTGGATTTTGTTGAATGAAACAAAATTTTGCTGGCTCGACTAAATTTCTTGTTTGGATATGAGCAAACAAATCTTTCGGTTGATACAAAAAGAAATCTACTTGGAAACTTTGGTTATATCAACACACAAATTTGGTTGAGTGAACATGCGCAGAATTCGATCGAATTGTTTCGTTTTATTTAAGGGGGGAGCCTACTTTAGAAGGCCGAAAATAATGTGTCTTTTTAAGAATTTTTTTCTAAAGGAACAATAATGTTTAGGTTTGTAACACGTTTAGGATGTTTTAATACAACATTTGAACTACAGATACAAATTTCTTCAATAAAAAAAGTTACATTTTCACTAAGTAATTTAATGTTAACTTTCGTGCGTCGCCATCGGAGTTCTCTAATTTTGTGTACACGATTAAGAAAAAACTATTTGACCTATCAACTTCGTTCAAAGTTTTTTAGTTAGATAATAGGCAACCATCCTCGGTTGACTATTATAAACCATATAAACCAAAAAAATTAATAAAAAGTGACTTAAAATATTTATTTTTTGCATAAACGATTGGATATTGCCTCGAGAAAATCGTTACTTTTTCTTCAAAGTCGTACAGAATTTGAAGTTTTCTACTTAAAAAATTTTTTTTGTTTACATAGGGTAAAATTATATGACAATTAAGTATATACTTGGTTTTTTATTTAGACAAGAATTGAGAACGCTAGGCTGTGCACAGTGGCGCAACTCCGATGACGACGCACGAAAGTTAACATTAAATTACTTAGTGAAAATGTAACTTTTTTTTATTGAAGAAATTTGTATCTGTAGTTCAAATGTTGTATTAAAACATCCTAAACGTGTTGCAAACCTAAACATTATTATTCCTTTAGAAAAAAATTCTTAAAAGACACATTATTTTCGGCCTTCTAAAGTAGGCTCCCCCCTTAACAAAATGGGTCTCAGGGCAGTTTCGCTTACAATTAGTCTGCTGATTGTCGCGAAAGAACCAAAAGAACCTCCCGGGTGCGGGAGGGTTACCCATACCCACACTGAGAAAACAGTCTCTGAAGAAAATTTATTTGTGGCATATAACGTTTATTTCACTGAAATAAACATTATATGCCTCAAATAATGTTTATTTTAGCGAAATAAACATTATATACCGCCAATAAATTTTCAAAGACTTTTCTCTCAGTGCATGTGCGGCGGAGGGTTCTTTTGTGATTTCACTTACGATTTCGACGGCTATCTAGTGGCGGAATACCGTACTTTGAGATGGACGAATTTGTTGTCTCAACCATAAAGTTTCGTTCAAATAAACAACGCATGGAAACCAAATATTTAGTTGTCGTAACACTTAACTTCTTTTCAGCAACATATTTTTCGTCTTATACAACCAAATTACATGTTCGGTCAACAAAATGACTTAATTAAATTATTTCTTTTCGCGATAATGTAAACGTGTAAACATGTAAACGAACTTTGACACACGAGTAGTGCATGAATTGGCCGTTTAACTTTAGTACGAAGAGCGCCCAAGTCGACCATATTTCGTCCTACCCTCACAACTGGAGTCGAGTCCTCCTGGTCTCTTATATACGTACACACACGCACACGATATTATTTTAAAGAATTTATTTATAGGTATAATAAATACTGTCATTATAATAATAACAACAATAATAGATCCCAAGGACGGCCGAAGAAGGCGCGCGCGGCCGCCCTCGTACACGGTACTCTCTCATTCGAGATTCTAACAAAGTTGAAGCTCTGAAATCCTAAACGTGCGCGGGGACAGCGATAATTATCGAGAGTAGGACGCGCCTCTCTCTCTCTCTCTTCGCGCTACCATCGCGCAGTGAAAAACGAGCCGGCATACGTGACGAAATGCGGTCGGTCCTCGCGCGTGTATCGCCGACGAGGCCGCGGGATATCGGAGCGGTGTACAGGTACACACTTGTCGCGTATTCGCGACGTTCGTGCGCGCACGACGGTTACTCGCGGTAAATTTACCCGCGAATTATCGCGAGAGCGAGTCTCCTTGCCACACCGCGTCCCGTCGCGCCTCGCGCCTCGCGCCTCGCGCCTCGCCCTCGCCTCGCCTCGCCTCGCCTTGCCTCGCCTCGCCTCGCCTCGTTTCGCCTCGCCTCGCCTCGTCTGACCTCGTCTTACCGCGCCGCGCCGGTGGGAGTGAAGTCTTGGTTCTATCCACGCATCGAGTGTAGCTACGGATTTTAGGCTCCTACCTCGTAAATTCGACTCTCCCTCGAGGATAGCTGGCGGAGGTAGAGGGAAGGATTTAAGGGTTTTCGCTGCATCCGACGTCCGCTGCCCCCTCTCTCTCTCACCCCCCACTCCCTTCCACCCGTATCTCTTTCTCATCCACGCGTATCCTTCCATATTTCGCACAAAAGACCGGCAAACCTCGGTAAATGTTATAAATATTACGGAATTTTCTTATGTAATTGTCTATGCAAAGTACGAGAGCGGCCGGTTTCGTGCTGGTCGGAAACGCGTTTTTCTCATACTTGCACATCTCCCGTCCTTCCGCACTCAAGTTCCGTTTAGGTCGCCGAGCGAGACACCCATCTTCTGACCGAAGAAAAAATTTAAATCCATCGGGGTTGCATCACCCGATTGCATAATCCCGCGCGAGGCACGATCGGGCCCCTACATTGTAATAATATCAGCACTTAATCGTCTATAATTCTACAACGTCTATTGGTTCGTAGTGGCCGTGTCGGCTACCGTTTATTAGGAGCCGGGCGCCATAATTAGCAGAAGAAGAAGAAAAAGCCCTTCCGCACTTATGACGACCCGAAAAACCGCTATGGTTTTAAAACGTCATTTAAAACGGTAGATCGGTCCAACTGTCGCTGCAATACAATATAAAGAAGATCCGGAGCGTTGTTGAGCTCGATCCCTAGCGTGTAGAGCTCGAATCATTTTGTATTAAGTGACTACTGTTGTTAATAACAAAGAGAGAACGTAGAACAATGTACCTACGAGCCAAACAAAATTTTTCATCTTTCCGATTTTAACCTGTTCAACTTAAAAGTTGAAAAATTTCTAGTAACCACAAGAGTAACCACCATCATTTCTGGAAATGACTCGTCGACATCGATCTAGAAATTTTTTCTTACCCAGAAAGTAGGATTTGCCAAGCAAAAGAAAAGGACAGCTTATTTTTTTTTATATTCTTAGGCTGCGATTCTATGGACTGATATTTCTCGCGTAACCAATCATAGACGTTCCGCGTTTTCTGTTACTCGAAATTTGTCCTTGGTGCACATGAAACACAAAACAACAGCACACCGAGAAAACAGTCTCTGAAAATTTATTTGTGGCATATAACGTTTATTTCACTGAAATAAACGTTATATGCCTCAAATAATGTTTATTTTAGCGAAATAAACATTATATGCCACAAATAAATTTTCACAGACTTTTCTCTCAGTGCAGCGTATCGGATACAACCAATGATATCTATCAATTCTCCTTCCACGTTCTAACAGAAATTCTAAATGTTACACTTCATTGGTTACGCGAGTATCTACTACGCAAATTTTTCGCCTATGTGAACGATGACAGACGTAACAGAAAACGCGGAATGCTTCTGATTGGTTACGCGATAGGCGTTACCGCGGAAATATCAGTCCATGGGACCGCAGCCTTATACGCTTCTACCTTTTACCTGTGTACTCCCACAGCGTGGGGTATTATAATGTGTTCCAAGTTTTAGAGAAGAAACCATCAATTCGCAAGCAGGGTAGGGGGTGAACGGTGGGCACAGCCCTCGTCCCTTCGTTCGCCCCTACGCGCTACGGTTGGACGAGCAAATGCCGCGAGGGCCGCTCGCGGCTCGCCGTGAACGCGCGAAACGGTCTACGGCGGCGCGCGCAAGTTTGGTGGGGATAGATACTGACCAGACGGCCGCTTCGCGGAGCCCGCGGAGGCATAGCGTTCACTCGTTCAGTTGCTCGCGTTAGCTCGAGGTGTGCGGTGACTACGACTTGAATAGCCGGTACTGGCAATAGTATAGTGAAATATTACCGAGGATCAGAGAGTTCATCAAGCATAGTTGGGTGATCGAGCCGATACTGATCGGATGTCTTCGAAAGACACAGATCGGCGCACTTGGTGCATCGAGTGGCATACGCGATCACCACGCAAGATCTAGTGGACCTTTATTTCGAGTTTCTCATCGAAGCAGCCCGAGTCAAGCGCATCGAATCTTCATCCGGACGATCGTATGGGATAAGCGAGTGGACGACCAGCGACGATCGCACCGCGAGCAGTGAACTCTTGGATACTTGGTTTCGCCAATCTCTGGAAACTGGACCGTGGACGACCAGCGACGACCTCACCGCGAGCAGTCAACTATTGGACACTTGTTTCCGCTCTCTGGAAACTTGGTACGTGTATTTTTTTTTTTGAGAATTATTTTTTGGGATTGTAGTCGGAGTGTGTATCGAGTCTGGGGGAACCCAGTGGAAACGCGTTCGCCCGCGCGATAGTCCAGTTGAGGATCGTCTACAATAGATGAAGTAAGCCTGGCGTAAGAAGTAAGAGTTGGAGTAAAGAATTGAATCTTTCCCATTTTCTACTTCTACTTCAGCTCTGACGCTTACTCTCGGCGAATTAGAGCGTAGTTCGACCAGTGCTACAAATATTTTAAAAAATTATGTCTGTACTCTAGCCTTTACATTGACAGGTAAAGGTTAGGTTTTCTTACTTCTTACTGCTTACTTCCAATGTAGACGGTTCTTCAATCGCGCTAAGTGTACGCCACGGCTAGACGAGAACGACGTAATCGTATATTTTTCCCCCTTCAATTCGCGATCGTCCTCAATCTCGTTCGCGGTGAGGGTTCGGGCCGTCGCTCGCGGACGCGAGAAAAGTGAAGTCCGGACGTGAAATCCAGACGAATGAACGAAAGGAGCCGGGAATTACGGAGCCGCGCGCGTCGCGTTCGCGTTCGCGAATTTAGATGAAACGGCATCCGCGGGCAGATACGCGGGGACAACGTGAACGTGAAGAAAACTGACTGCGAGGCCGGTGCGCGCGTTCTCGTAGTGCTACCCGGGTACAGAACGTGTGTGTCTCTATCGCTGTCTTCATTTCACTCGTTTCGCCTATCTCGCTCACGCTCCGGCTACCACCCCAACCATCCTATTCCTCGTGGCAGCAATAATATCGTTTCCCGCGCGCAGTTCGGATTGGCTGGTGCAGTGGCAACCGAGGCACGGAGAGGAGAACGCCGGGGAAGTACCAACACGCTCCGTTTTACTCGCGCTAGCGCCGTCAACGGGAGAGGAGCAGCGGAGAGCGGTGGAGCGGCAAGGTGTAGAGCAGCCTTGCTTCGACGGAGGGCAGTGGTGTGCAGGAGAGGGAGAAGAAGTGCGAAAGAGAGAGAGAGAGAGAGAGAGAGAGAGAGAGAGAGAGAGGAGGTGGTGGTTGTAGCCGCCCGACCGACCGACCGAGTTGTTTCATTCATAAAAAAGTTCTTTATTACTCTCTGTGAGCGCATGTGCTATTCCACCACGGAGGAGGAACGAGTACTACTACTCCCCCGACCGGCTGCGACGGCGTAACCGCGTTTACACACGGTATTATTTACTACTGTGCGAGATACGAATCGGCGCCACTCGCCGTACTGCCAGCGCGGCGTACGGACCGTTCCGGTTTCATCTCCGCGCTCGTGCTAGTTACCGTCGCGTCCGCCGTCCGTCGAGAAACATAATGCGTGCGCGATCGAGTCCGTAATTTTGTACATTTTTTCGCGATTCGGGAACAGAGACAGTCAAATGGTGCACGTCTGAAAATCGGTCGAGATCGAGTCATCGAGTGAAAAAGGCAAGAGAATCAACGAACGGAGGGATCGTTCTAATGTCAAAGGGGACAATTCTGGACGGCAACCTGGATCAATCACAGGAAGCGGCCGTAGATCTCTCCCCGGAAGCTACGGGGGGAGCTACGGATCGGAGAGATCGTAGACACGCTCGCGAGCGTATCACTCGCCCCCCCTCGCAACTTGTGTCACCCTTTCCAACTTACAACGGCGTAACTATTGCCAGATACGAACCTTTGAACGTCAGCGACCCTGGTCCAAGCACAAGCCAACCGTCTAGGCAAAGAATTCGAAACGAAACGCGGACCGCGGGCAAACGACCATTGAGGGCAACGACACCTCAAGGTAAAATGGACGCAATCACCAGAGTTCATGCAGGCGAATCCAAGGCCGCGGTAGCACGTGACATCGGCGTACCCGAGTCGACACTTCGCGGCTGGTGTAAGGCCGAGGACAAGATTCGCACGCAACTAAACAACGTGAGAACTACGGGAGCCTATGACCAAATTTTGACGTCCAGTTCGGACAACAGCAATAACAGTCCGGCGGAATCGTCGGCACGGTCAACGCCGACCAATCACGCAGTGGGACCATCGATTTGTGGAGCAGAGAGAATGGTCGACGATTTTGAGCCGCCTCTAAAGCAGGCAAGACTGGACACCAAAAATTTAACGACATTTGGATGTACAGTTCCCATGAGTAACATGACGACATCGTCTCAAGGATCTGCACTAAATTTTGAAGACCCTATTTATAAACCACTTCTTTTAGGTATGATGGCTCACGATCCAAATTCCTTACATCTATTTAACACGCTCGTGAAGGCATCAGAGCATTCTATGCCGTTTTTATCCGGATTCCCAATGTCTGAAAATAATAAGCTATTAGCCGAAATGATTCGGTTAAGCAGCAGTAATGGGATGGCTCCCGTTACTCCGAAGACGAAAGTGTCGACTACTAACGACGTGCCAGTCAACGGCAGGAGAAAACATAACGCCATGGGACGTGCATCAGTCACGGAGATGGCAGCGAAAGCCACCACGAGGAGACGGAACAGCCAATCGCCGAATACGGAGAAACCGTTCGGGAACACCTTTCAACAGACAAACAGTCGAATGTCTCCCTTGCCATCAACGTCGATGAACAACGGCGGTGTGAACGCGAATGCTTCTGCAAAATCAGCCAAGTGCGGTAAAAACATTAACGATATAGTAAACCTGCTAGCACAACAACAAACACAACAACAGGCCCGAGGGGCCGCACCGCCTGTGCAAGAGGCCGCACCGCCTGTGCAAGAGGCCGCACCGCCTGTGCAAGAAGTCGCACCGCCTGTGCAAGAGGGAGAAATATTAGCCACTAATGCGGTGAATAACAACAATAATATCAACCATGCAAATGGATATCCGCCGGGAATTAATGACATGAAAGAGTATTGTAACAAACTCATAGATTGGTTGGAACGTTATGGGACTGCTGTCTGTACCTTCCACCAAATGGATCAATTGAAGTCAGTTTTGCACAACCTGATGAACTGGGAGAACGTAAATGCTAGGAGGAACGCGAATGGTGCGAGCTAGCTGAAGCAGCGGAGAAAATGAACAGTGTTATGTATAGATGTATAGAAAATGAAATGTGTAATGTACATATAGGGACAATTGACATGATTATGTATATATGTATATAGGTATGTGTGTATTGGATTGTGTATATACTTGTTGTACATAATTAGAGTGCATTTATGACGTGATGCCTATAAGAGATAAACAAGGAAAGAATCTGTATATTATATGTGTTATATATGATGGACAATAGTACTCCATTTCTCCTTGATTTATTAGCGTCTTGGAGGATGGTTGACGTAATCAAACTTTGAATAGTAGAATATAAGGTACATTTTTCCTACACTTGTCTACCTCTTAGGGTAGTTCGTTACTTTTACGTTTAAGAATTATTATATTCTAGATTAGAATCTTTAGTTTTTAATACATATATACGAACAGAGTTAAATGTATATGTAGATACATTTTTCAAAATGATTTTTTTAATTTAGTTTTTAAGTATTTTAAATTCAAATTTAAATGTGGACTGACAATGACAGTAAGCATGCTGTGAAAAGTCAACGTTAATGACAAACACGTAAGAGAGAAAATCTTTAATTGGATTAAATCTTAAAAGGTTTGTTGACTTACCGGAATAAAGGCATTGTCTAGTGGTTGATACGCGATACAATCACTAATGAATCTGACGCATCCACGCCACGAGTCTAGTTCCCGAAACGGCAACGTACTTTCATTGATACTGCTTGAAATATATTTCTACGCAAAGTGGAAAAGAAATAGCAATTCAATTTGGATCATGAATATGATATACTTTTCGCGTTTCTCTCTTATATCATTATTATCAATATAATAATATCAGTTCAATCAGATCAATATCAGTTTTATTGAAAATTCACATACACCAACAGTATTATGTACAGATGATCGCGTATGAAGATACATGATGAGGTAGAGAAATTTTATTTCCCTCAATTACACAAACAATAATAAAAATTAAAACTTGGACAAAATTATTATACATTCCTTTGTATGTACGATGAATATTTTTATTAGTAATATTTAGTTAGTAATAGTCGAGGGGGAAACCGCTGAGGGCATTGTGGTGTACAGATTTGTGGCATTACTTGGTATTACTCGGCCAGATTTGGGGCATTAGGTCTTGCTTAGGCATTATAAAGATAAAATAAGAAAAAATAAGATAAAAAGACGAACGAGGCAAATTAGATAAAGTAATACACACTGGGCAAATTAGATAAAGTAATGCACACTGGGCAAATTAGATAAAGTAATGCACACTGGGCATTAGTGGGCATTGGTGTACAAGATTTTGGTCAGCGATTTCCCCCTCGGTAATAGTTTAATATCATTTAGTTAATACAGCAACAATTTCATGTATAGCATTTTTAAATTAACCTCGTACCTCTTTTTCTAATATCTGCATAGGTATATATAGTATACCGAGGTTGAACACAATTTTTAAATCCATTTTTTAAACGTGTGCAAAATGAATCCAGTTAGTTTTGTATTTATTCATTACTAAAATTCATAAGGCTAAAAAATTTAGACTAGAATTCGTAAGACAAATAAAAAAAAATATTTTAAAACAATTAAAAATTTTTTTTAATTTAGAATGTAATGTGAAACTTCAGTAATGTAAAAAATTAGGAACTAAGTTTCGTTAAAATATTAGAAGTTATAATTGTCTGATAATGTAAAAAAATTATATATTAAGTTTTTTTCTATAATTTTTTTTAGTTAAAGTATTATTAAATTATTATTATTAAAGTATTATTATTATTAAAGTATTATTTTTTCATCTTTTTTATCTTTAGGTAAAATGCTAATGCTGAAAACATGATTGTACTGTATTAACTAATCATATGAATACTATATAGTATAGTCTTAAGTTACATCTCCCTATAAATATAAGCACACATACCAAAGTACACCATGTGTCGTGCTGTGAATTGAAAATAAGACTATGCTTAGATACTTATGTTAATAGTAGATTTATTATAAAAATATTCAAATGTATATCGCGTAACTTCATACTCGATTGTTTCATATACTAATGTGTAAACCTGCTGTACAGGTGTATGCGAATGGTAATTGCTTCATATAAGAGAAACGTGATTAACTTTTATTAAATTGTTCACACTTAAAATAATTTTTTAATTTTTTAGATATAATTCGATTTTTTCATTGTAATTTTCGTTTAATTAAAAAAATTTGTCAGAAGAAAAGTGTAAAAAATATGAAAAATTTATATAGTCGAATTGTCTTAATTTTAATTTTCGCCAAACTTTTGCAATTTCTTATAATATTAATGAATACTCATGTCAGCGCTGATTACAAAATTTCATGCAAAGTGTAAATCACATTGTCATATCATTAGATAATTTTTTATGCAAGATGCATAAAAATTACTGCATAAGACTTATCAAGGTATTTTGCCAAATGCATTGAGCATGCATAATTCATGCATATAACACGAAATCTTTTTAAGATTCTTCTATTTTGCATCTATTTTCTAAACGTATCCAATAACTCCAGTTTCAGTTTTGTATTACATGAAATAATGTAATTGTCGTTTATATAAGTTTCCATTAATTTAAGAAAAAATTGCTCAAATTTAGTAAAACAATTGCACATGAAAATTAAATAAGATTATATATAAGTCGATTATATGAATTTTTCGTATTTTAGAAGATTACTCAGTCAATATTTTTCTTATTTCTGACAAAATGTACTATTTCGAGAAAAATTTTTGTATAAGTAACATTCATCGCAAAGTAAAAAGCAAAAAAAAATTCAAGAATATCTTTAATTTTTATCTTTTATCCCTTAATCCCCTCTTAGAAACATAACATAGTCATAAATATTTTTAATAAAAATTAATAAGCAAGACGACTAAGTTAACTATTACCAGAATTCTGTTTCTTAATCTCGTATGTCATCTATAATAATACAGATACGTAACTTATTGATTTGATAAAGGACGTATTTCAATTTCCTTCAATTATTTCTTACAGCGCATAAAAACTGCACATGGAATTTCACTCTAAATTCTGACGTAAATTACAAGTCTAAAGAAGCCTTAAAAAAATTTTGAATAGCTCTTTCTATTACCACGCGATTTTATTTTAATTGTGCAACAATAGAGGGTATATCATCAGCTGATCTTACGATCAGCTGACTTTTGAATCAGCTGATACTTATAACAGTCACATACATACATACATATATACATACATACATACGCGCCACGCACATGCATGCACTCCTCCCCCCACCCACATACACATGTATATACTCAGCTGTATAACGAGTCTACTTATAATTTTTATTTATAACATTCATAAATTCCAAAAACCAAATAGTATTGGAAAGTTCTCGAATATAAAACAAAACGCGCAACTTTTATAAAATTAATTCTCTAATACGCCAAACATGGAATGGAAGTTAAGTCCAAACTCGCGAAGCTTGGGGTATGACGATTTTTTCAAAATTTTATAAAAATCGGCACCGGTTTCTTTAATCCTTTTTAAAAAAAATTATAAAAAAGTGAAAAACGGTGTTCGTTAAGCGACAATTTTTTACCGCATCTTATGCGGCTTGCTACATCCAATATGCCTATCGATATCTCTGACTGTAAACTCGTCTGTGAAAAATTCCGAAAATCGATCTAAATAGTTATCATTTATTTCTGCTTCGGCCCAGTTGATTAAAAAAGTCGTATCAGTCATTAGTGGATTATGCCTACCGGGGATACCACTATAAAAAAAACGCGTCAACAATAGTACCCCAAGGGTAATGAGGAAATCTATTGAAAACATTTACGCTCCTGCGCTTCGAGCGGTTCATGGGCTTCGCGCGGGACGGCAAGGTAAGGGAGGTAGCGCTGGGAGAAGTCAACTAAAAATCAGCCGCGAAGTGACCTATCTCGCCGATCTCTGGACTATATTATTAATTAACAACCGATATAATTTTTTCGAGATTAAATTTTACTCACTTGTACCCGGCATTCGTTCTCACAGGCCAAAAGTAACGGTCGGCGATTTGTGTACTTAGCGTGGAACTGCCGACGAAAATTTTCTGCATACCACAACAGCAGTCGCTCTTTGTCATTGACGCAACGATAACTGTCCGGAAGTGATTGCACATAGAGATCCTCCGTGATTATCGATACAGTTGGCAAGCATAACTTGATTAGACACAATTCGCGTTGCACCTGCCGCAGGATCTCCTCAGGAGTACGATCGGATTTCTCTATCCTCCTCCATTTATCTTCTGGATATCCATCCGGCGACGCCAAACGTGAGTTATCACATTTAAATTGCTTCGCAGTCGCGTCAGTTGCTTCTTGAATCGTTACGATATCGTTCATTGCGACGGCAATTTGATCGTCCAACAGCCGTGATTGTAAAAATACGCGTTTGATCAACCGACGAATCACGCGAATGTTTAGCACGATTACAGTACCGCGATTCGAATTCGCAATCGACATGCAAACAAACCGCGGTTGCTAGGGCAACGCGATACGGTAAGTATATCACGCCTTGAGTTAGTACCGTAGGTGGCAGCACGAATTGGAATGTGCGGATAATAAAAATATTCACTATACATATACTTATTGAAAGCTTTCAAAAAATGGTTATTTGTTTATGAGTTATTAGGTACGATGTATTGATTAGTAAAGATACGAAAAGTTGATTTTTATTTTTGGCGAAAACACTATCGCTCAGGCATTTTGTTTAAAAATCTCAGTAAAAGAGAAACTTGAGATTTTTTTATCTTAAATCTTATTACGACAAAAGCAAAAAGGTTTCTTTATTTCGATAATTCTATTACCGTAGAATGAAAAGTTTTGGTGTTCTATTTATCTGGTGTAAAGAAAAGAGATTAGGCTTAAAGCTGTGAAATCAGAGATGTCACTTACAGATGAAAGAAGTACAGGCTTTATTCTCAGTAGAAATAGATGTGTTTGAAAACTTATGAAAAAGGAAAAGCTTTTATTTTGATCATTGTTATGTATATAGAAAAAAACATTGATGATTTATTTAAATCATTAATGTCGGTAAAGAAGAAATCACCTCAAATACTTATAAATGTTAACAATGCACTCGTTATATGAGGCTACAGGTAAAAAAGTATGTCTCAATTTTTTTTATTAAAGAAAATTTAAAAATTTGAAGGGAAAAGAACTTTTATTTTGACATTTTACACAAAATAGAAATAGTGTAATCCATACAGGGTAAATCTTATATCCTACACCAGTCTTTTACCATGAGAGGATGGATTACCGACTGCAACTCTAGTTCACTGAACGGCACAAGAGGGCAGCTGCTTCGATCTCAGGGATGTGAGGCAAGTTGGAAACGTGTTTCATTTATACAGGGTGAGTTTTAGGCCGGTATTCATAGTCGATTGCTCTGTGATTGGTTGAAAATACATTAAGAGTATACTTAAGATGATCTTAAATATAAGAACGGATTATGAATACCTGCCATAGTCACTGAAATATAACTATACTGGAAGAGGCCTAAGCCAGGGTCTACAATAGGTGTAGTAAGCCTTAAACCGTAAGAAATTGATCAATCACAAGCGATTATTCTCCTCACTTCAGACTGTGACTGGTCAATTTTTTTACGGCTTAAGGTTTACTACACCTATTGTAGATCCGGGCTAAAGCGTGCCAAGAGAGAGAGCAAACTTAGGGGCTTCCTGTCTTTGTTGTACAGTCAAATCCAAAAGTTTATGCTAACTTCAGCACAGTTTACTAACGCAAAAAGTAAACTCTGCGCGTTGCGCCGTGCGCGCTGGCAGTCAAAAATATGTCGTAACTATTTCTTTTTATAATTTAAAAACTATGCTTGGGAGAAAATTTAGGTAAAGGAAAACTTCTCGATTTTCGCGATTTGAATGTGAAAATTCTCGGGAATCTAATTCTTGGAATTTTAGATAGTGCCACCTCTTTGCTGA